ATTTACTGTTCAGAACAGAACTCTGCTTTTAAATATCAGAACTATTTATATAATACTCAAATGAGCTTGTTAACATAAAGATTAAAAAATTATAATACAAATTATTGAACATAAAAATCATCCTCCAATCTCATTATAAATACATTCCACTGTATCTAAAATGACTGCGTTTTATGTACTGGAAGTGATTTAAACTTAAATACACTTTAATATCTAATGTTGCATTTATGATCACAACAAATAATCTGTAAATCTTATATTCATTTAAGTACTTACAGTATAGGCTCCAGAATTTTTTAGTGATATTTCATTAATTACTGCTGTTTTGCTGTTCAGAGCACCATCAGAGGGTGTTTCCTCTGGTTGCGGTCTTAAAAAGAGGCCATTTGGTCAGGAAACACACTGATCATATTGCCCTCATTGTGGACACTGAGACTTCTTGAGCTGTAACGGAGACGTGGATGTATGAATATTTTTGATTCTGACTGACACACAGGTTAGTGGATAATAACTGAGTTTCATTGCAGAGTGAAATATTCACATCTAAGTGAGTCATATTCTGGGAAGCCATCAGCTCCAAACTGAAGAGTTTTTTTTAGGTGCTGAGCTCAGTCCAAACTCCCTGTGACTTTGAAAAGGAATTCATATAAAGAGAAAAGCAGCCACAAAGCAGAAACAACCCGATACCTGCTGTGGACTTTGAAACTTTATATGAACCCCTTCCACAATGAGCAGTCTCTCAGTGATGTGCTGCAGTTAGGGCCTCTTGTCGGCATGTGATTGGCTGGAGGCGGTTGGGGTGGAGGATGGCGGGGTGACGTCTGGGTAAACCAGGAAGCCAGTGAAGGTGATGTACTTGGCGTGGTTGCTGTAGGCTCCAAATCCGTCCCTCTGGTGGGAGTAGAGCCAGACGGTGTCTCCTGGTTTCAGTGTCAGCATCAAGCTCTGACTCTGTAGGGCTTTCTCCCCCTGGCTGTCATCRTAGATCATCGCCTGCACCTCCAGGCGGTTCTTCATCAGCTTGACAGACAGTGTCTTTTGGGGCAGCTTGCCTACATTGAAGGAGAAGTAGTACGCCCCAGGAATGCGGCAGAYGAACACCCCCTCCGTCACATTGAAGTCCTCCCCGATGTTGACGAAAGCCGTGTCAAAGCTGATTGGTCGGTGCTGTGGCATGCCCACCTGGTCTATTCCTAGAATGCTCTGGGTGCGCCCTGCCGAAAAGGCGGATCTCTGGTCTTCCTCTTCATCGTCRTACTCTTCTTCCTCTTCTTCCTCTYCTTTATGAGGCAGCTCCTTCTCCTCGGCATCTCCTGAGCTGAACTTGGCRTGCTCGGTTGCCTGCAGACGGAGGTCTTCCTGCTGGGGCTGCTGGGAGCCGTAGGCGGGGTGCTGTTGCTGGTGGTGCGTCTGGTAGCCATAGGTGTCGGGGTAGATGAGGTAACCGTTGAAGGTGGTATAGTGTCCGGTGTTGCTGTAGAGCGCATAGCGAGGGTCACCATGCAGACGGAGCCAGACAGTGTCACCAAACTCCAGCTGCAGCATGACGCTCTGGCTCTGCACCTAAAGATTCAGGTAGATTTTATTAKTCTGGCAAGAGAGGAAATCTAGACTTTTTTTCCATACCAAGGACATGAAACAAACAAACAAACAACATGTTGTCTAACTCCCATCCTTGCTCAGTTTTTTCAATCTACTGTAATGAATAATCCTTTCTGTTCGACTCAGTCCCCACCCAAAAACAAACACCTGCTGTAAGAGCAGCTCTAAGCTCGGACATGATAGAAGACCTTTATAAACATTTCTCCTGAGAGAAGAAACATCCTGAAAGATGATTTTAACTGGTGACTGAGAAGTTCTCTATAAGAAGTGATGTCCTATCATTCAGCGGTGCAGACAGTACACTCCTTTTCAAATCTATGGTTCATCTTAACGTGTTCTTCAAATAACAATCTGTTCACACAAATATTAAACCATGTAGGCTCACAAAATGGTTAGAAACTTTGTTTTGGACTTTTATACAAWATGTCAAAACTATTTTTCACCAACAATCAGGGGTTCTCAAACTGTTAGGCGTGACCCCTGAGTGTTTGTGTTGTATGTTTTTGCYACCTGGTGGGGACGATTTTTGACCATTTTCCTGGTTACACACAGCATGGTGAGGACCCACTGTTCCTTATGGGGACAAAAGCCCGATCCCCATCAGGGGAAATACCACTGGTGGGTTAGATTASGGGAGTATTTACTTAAAGGGCCCCTTCTGCCACCCAACGGCTCCACAGAGTTGATAAATCTCTTAGGACAGTGGTGTCCAAAGACCTAAAGAGTGCCTAATCAGTRGGCCTCTGCAGACCTTGATGGCATACTGAGGAGGCCTACWAATTAAGCACTCCTTAGYTTTAGCTGTGTTGAACCAGGGCAGCACCTAAAACATGCAGGACACTGGCCCTTGAGGACTGACTTTGGACACCACTGCTATAGGAAGTGCGTGCTCGCTCGAGATCAGGTCCAGTCCTGGGTCACTGGATCCTATCTTTATGGGAAATATGGTGGAGTTGGCTGTTTCAAGGGACCATTGCAGTCAGCCTGTTGATTTGTATGTGCTGTGTAAGATTTTGGAGAGTAAAATAGATATTCCTAAGGAGTTTTAGGAAACACATTTGGTTCTAAGTTGGATTRRAGTTGTTTTTATTTAGGTTTTAAGGATAAAAGATTGTACCTGTGTGGTTAGGGTTAGATATGTACCTGTGTGGTTAGGTTAGTATTTACTATTTGGATTTAAAATATAATGYTCTGTGGAAAGARGAGATTATGACTGGAGGTGATTAATTGTGAATAGTCTAGAAATCTGATTCCATGAATCAGGGTTGAATGGTCAGAATCATAYTGGCTGAGGTAAGCATATTTGAGCAGGACATCTGACATATAAATGAGATGATAGGCTGCTTAACATATGTAAATTCTGTTTGCTTAAAATCTGTGATGGCATTAGTGAGAGATGAAGAGGAAAACATTGGGCCTCATGAAAGAACATTTTCGTATTCTTATCCTAAATTTCTCTTTTTGTATGAAGGGCTCATACGAACATGCCATATTAGATTCAACAAATGCTTCTAACTTCAGGAAAAGTGTATAAATGAGCTGCGTAAACTGATGAATTCCACCTGTTCTTATTCAGGTGCACGAGGAGAGGAAATTAGCATAATTACCACTCCAATGATATCATAATACCATATAAGGCTACACTTGCTGCCCCACATACCAGGACGTGTTCATTCATTAAAACAGCAAAAAGTAAAAGAACTTCACGAGTTCGGAGATTGAAGTCCTGCTCTCAGAGATCCAGAAAAGAAAATCTG